CCTAACTAACCCTAACTAACCCTAACTAACCCTAACTAACCCTAACTAACCCTAACTAACCCTAACTAACCCTAACTAACCCTAACTAACCCTAACTAACCCTAACTAACCCTAACTAACCCTAACTAACCCTAACTAACCCATTAAAGGCACCAGACCCTACCCTAACTCACTTTATGATGCCATGAAGTGCTGGACGATAACAAGCATCGACGATACACTTGCTTCTGTCGCTTTTGAAGCCTGCAATGCTGGTTTGCATGACCATACAGGCGTAACTCCAGGTCGCTTGGGTCCCCAGTCAAGAGCCTTTGTGCACAGATGCTCGTTATTCTTTCCTGACCCTGACGCTCCCCATAAGTGCAATGCTCAGTGGTGTGGACTGTGGGAAAGAGATGGATACATCGCAGAATTCCATAGGACGATGAAGACATTGGATGGGGATCAGCAGGAATCGCTAAAGCAAGGTTTACGGGACATATTTTCGGAACTTCACTGTCTACCTTCGAGTGGTGTGAGGGTGTGGATCCAAAAGAAGGATGCCATAGTATTCGTAACAAATCCTGCATTTTATAGGATCGACCGCATTGGAAGGGGGGGCGAGAGTCAGAGGAGAGCTCCAAGAGCGCGTCGGACTATGAAGGTGATCAAGGGAAAGCGCATATTTGCGGCTGATCTCATGGACTCACAACCATTCGACGCCGATGGGAATTTGAGAAGGAAGACAGAGAGGCAAAAGCGTCGGGAGATTCACAAAAAGATGACTATGGAAAAGAGAAACAAAAGGGTACCCCCACCCCCACGTCCTCGCAAGTCCAGGCCATTCCCAATGAGTGAATCAGCACATGTGGTGACAGATGATGAAATGGATGTGGATTAGCATGTGTACATGATATTCTATTATATAGATGCACAAGTATAGCCCATAAAATGCAGATAAGTATCCTTCTCTGGGTCTCCCAGTATGCTAGATGCACAGCTGTAAACAAGATGGATAACCATGAACATGTGCACTTGACTGCGACAGTATGAAAATACCGTGATTAGGCTAGGGTAATTCATTATTGTCCTCAGCCAGGTCCAGAAGGTGATGTGGGATTCTGTTTTGACCATATTAATATACATCAACAAATTTTTCTGATGATGTTTGGGTTGAAATTGTTTGTGCACTGTATGTTTGTAGCTCCCTATTCTCATTCACGACTTTTTCCAAGCCAATCAATTAAGTAACTCAAAAAAAGAATGGTTCAAAATCCATTAAGCCATTCTCCAGGATTCAGAAGGTTAGAATGCAGAGGTGACCTCAGTTACACTAAAATATAAACAAACATGGTCGATGAAGAACTGACATGGCTGTGAGCTTGCTTAGTGTCCTACCATCCTCTATGCCAGACACAGCCAAACCAATGGCAAATTGTGCAAGAAAACTGTCATAGAGTCTAGAGCTTCCTGCCTCTCTGACCAGATGGAGGGAGATACCGTGGTTCTTTGCAGACTGTGTGATTGACTTGCGACAAGTAACCCAAATACATCCAAGCATGTAGCGAGTTACTCGCTGTCTTGTTTATAATTGAAGACAACACTTCACAGCTTGCTGTATGGAACTGGAAACAGACAAACTCATCCTGGTGATTCAAGATGAAGCAGAGTCTGTGTTACCTGTTTCTGATATATATTCTAGACATGCTCCAGTCGTGAAATCACCACCTTCACCTTCCTCACCTCTCATCCAAACATGTAGTGAGTTCCTTGCTGTATTATTTATCACCAAAGACAAAAAACTTCAGAGCTTGTCGTGTGGAAATGGACACAGGTGAACTAATACTGGTGAGTCAAGATGAACCAATTTGAACACAGAAATCATGGTAGGATGAGGATTTGAACCTAGTTCTTCCCAATGAGTTAACCTGTTTTCCATTGCCACATAGCAAACTCTTGAGTGTTGTCCTGCCATGATTTCAGCTACCAATATGTGAACCCTATTTCTGTTTTTCCCATATCAATGCAGATGTGTTTTTCCTTTCCAAGGCTGAATGGAGAGAGGAACTTGTCATTCTACTCGATGACATCAAGGCTCAAGGTATTAATCTAAAGTGTAGTACTTACCTTCACGGTGGTTTTGATGTCTGTCTATTGTCAAATATGTATTCAAGGCGGCAAGACAGGCCAACCAATTTGCCACTGAGTTGGCCATGTCTGGCATGGAAGATGGCAGGAGAAAACACCAGCTCGCATCTGCATCACGCCTCGCATTAATCAAGTATTCCAACACCTGCTGGAGCTGGTTTCATCTCCTACCATCCTCCATGACAGCCAAATCAATGGCAAATTGGGCAAGAGAACTTTGATAGAGTCCAGAGCTTCCTGCCTGTCTCATCAGATGGAGGGAGATACAAGGTTGGGATGGGTGGGACCCATATATGGCGACATTTATAGACACCACATGCAGTGAAGACACTATTTTGCTTGTAAATGTCGGTCTTTTAAACCTTATTTTGTGTTATTAGGAACTTGCTCCGAGTGCTATTGAGCCTTATTGATGCGATAGGAACACTTTGTTTGTCAAAAAAAAGTCATGTTGGTCAGTTCAATTCAGTTGACTGGCTGCCTCTGTTCCAGTTTCATTTTTTGTGTTCATGTGATTGATCAGACTTGAAGCAGAACTTGTTTTTAATATTATAGAACCTGCTTAATGCACTGGAAACATGAGTTTGTCCATGAAAAATAACTACCTCATTGTGCTGCCTCCGCATTTTTCCTGCTTATGTAAGCAGACCTACCTTGACCAATGATTGATTTGTTCAACCTTCATATGACTTGCTTGGCTTCAAATAGACATTTCAATTGAGGGTATTGAGCCCTCTGAATACGATGGTAACACCTTTTTCATTCAAAAAAATCACATTCCAAAGTTATGAGTGTCTGTAATGCTGAGGCCCTCAACACAAGGTCTATTGCTTCAGCCTTTATATGACTCGCATGGCTCGATCTTAGGCTCATTATGAAGGGAATTGATCCATATATATTGAGCAGCAACAGAAATGCTTAATCTTGCAGAGTCTTGGTGTAAGTGTGTCCAAGTCGACCGCTTTTGCTTATGTAAGCTGTGTCGCCCCTGTCATGCTGCCTCACTCAATGATTGATTTTTTCAGTCTTCATGCGACTTGTCTGGCTTCATGTTGAACATGATATAGAGGTTATTGACCAATCTGAATGAGATGGCAGTGTTTATTTGATCCAAAAAAATCAGGTTTGAGAGTCATGCTACCCCCTCCCCCCACCTACTTCACCAAGAGGCATGATTTCATGTCAATAACGATGTGAAAAGGATGTTCCCAGTGTTTAAGAGTCATATTAATAGATTGGAGATGGTTTCATAGTGTTCTGAACCAATATGGAATGTGATGTGCGAGTTTGCCTGATACCCCCCCTCAAAGATCGATTTTTCTAGGCTTCCCATGTCTTGCCAGGACTGCAAAAGTATGTTTCCTGGGGGTTATTGATGCGTCTGAAGACGATGGTAAAGCTAGTTTTGTCAGGAAAAATCAGGCTGTTGAGATATGCAAGGTCCCCCTCCCCCCCAAACTCATATATATTGATATTATGTAAATACCGGTATATAAAAGAATGTTCCTACTGTTTTCCATTCATATAAATCGATTGGAAATGGTCCCAGAGTGGTTTGAGCCCATCCTGATCAACATATGCGAGTTTTTATGGTATCCCCCTCAAAGATCGATTTTTCTAGGCTTCCCATGACTTGCTTGTACTCTAGAAGTATTTTTCCGGAGTACTCTTAATGTCCCTGAACAAGATGGTAGAGCCCGATTTGTCAGGAAAAATCAGGTTCTTGAGATACAGAAGGTCCTCCTCCCCCCTCCTACTCCATATATCTGACTACACTCAGGTTTTGCCCAAAGCTGATACTGAAAATGGTGGTCCCAGTGTTTTTAAGGTGTAGAAATCGATTGAAGATGGTCCCAGACTCTCTAGAGGTCGACATTGTTGATGTTTGTTGGAGGGGTGGAAAATTCAGTATTTCGACATTATCTCCAGATCCCAACCGCCGTTTTCTTTCATTCCGAGCTCATATTAATCCTTGGAGATCCTTCTAACATATGTACCAGCCCGAGAAGAGAAAAAAGTTTTGAAAGTTGAAACCTATTTCTGTTTTGACCATATAAATTTCCATGACCCCTCGAATCAAGTTCCAGATCGAGTCACAGGTGCATACAGCCTGAATCGTCTGGGGTTGGCTAAGGAAGGTCAGAACACGCACATCTCTGACGTCGAGATTCTCTCTGCTTCAGAACTCATCGATGCCGCCCAATATGATCCCCCACTGCATGAGGAGTGTAGGTTCGGACACAATGCCTTTGTTCGTGGCCGGACCAGCCATCGCTTCGGAGACGGACCTGCATTATATGTTGACCTTGAACGGGATGCGGTTAAATTTTCAGAAGATGAGCTAGAGACATCAGTGGACATAGACAGTATAATTTGGACGACAAAGGTGTTCCGATGCAGGGGGTCAGTGGGCATATACATCACTCCACCATTCCAAACAAAACCTGGTATATTCAAGCACAATCACACGTATGTCGACATCACCATTCCACAGTCAGAAGAAGATGCGAATGCGCCTGGTGGAAGAAAGGAATGGCTGTCTAAAAGGTTTCCTATGGCTGCCATCCCTCATGCCTGTATGGGCCGCATATCATCCGCATCCTCGACACTCAATCTCTATATTGCATTTCCGAGGATGATCCACCAACACCCAGTGAATGGACGAAGAATCACACTGATGCCAAAGGAGGTCTTGGATATTTTCTGGGATAGGGTACTGCTTCCATCTATAGGAGATTGCACCGATGTCAGCTGGGCGCCTTATATGAAGCACACGTTAGAGGAGGCACGATACAAGGCAAGAGGTGTGGAAGGACGCAAAGGAGGATGGGGACCTCCAAAAACAATTCCCCTGTCAGATGATGACTTTAGGGATGTTCAGGAACGCATGGAAGCCTGCATACGCAATGGAGAGGGGGAGCTCAGCATGTATGGGTCGTTCTTCTTCATTTTGGAGGGGAAGGGAATCAAGCTCCTCACAAAGGATGGACAGCGAGGACGTTTCTCAGGACCGGAGGAAGCCTTGCGTCGCAACCTGTCAGACCTGGACTGGCCATATATGATGAACCACAGGCATGGCGAGCTTCTGGTGGATGTGGGTATCTCATTCACTCCACGCTCTCCAGAAGTTCCGGTTGTTGGTGTATGGAGATTAGATGCATTGGAGGCATCGTATGGCGCAGGAGGTTACAAGCGAGGCGAGATTCATCACCAGAACACACTCTCCAGATATGGTGCCCTCCAGGCAGAGATGCAGCAGCAGAGATCCCAGCAGACCCACATAGCATTCCGGAGCAGCTACAACCTATACTACGAATCCATCCGAACAAACAACAACAAGGTAAACTTCGCTTCGGACAGTGATGCCTACAAGCTTTCTCCATCGTACATGGCCGAATGCTTCGAAATAATGAAGGTTGTCGAAGGGTGCAAGGGGAAAACATATGGTGTCAGAGATGAGTATAGGGTGAGCGGACAAGCGGCTAGAACAATGTTGGATAACATAGAAAACAAGGTAAGTAATATACACTGCGTCGATCGTTGTAATGTAAGCTGAATGTCTCCATGTCAATGCAGGCTATAGACTATCTGCGCTCAGATCCTATACTGTGGATTCCATCCAATGTCTGGTTTGAGTTGATCAGGCGACGTGTGCGGGAGATTCAAAGGACCCAAATCTTCATTGTCAAAAAGAACCCTCCCAATCTTGGCACCCTAACTGGCTTGCTGAACCACATGCTTCGTTCAACCATATCAACGCCTATCGTCTACGACCGTCATGTCCGTGAATCACTCGCCCTCCTTGAATACAGAAATGTACTCGAAACAGCAGGGATGTTCTTCTTGCAGGAATTTGATCTATGCAGCGAAACCTGCCTGGAGGAAGTGCAGCAAATCGATGATGTGAATGTGTTGGCACTCATGGGTGTAAATGCGAAGGCTCAAAGAGACAAAGCAGTGGGAAAAGTGGAAGGATGGAAGATAACAGAGTCAGGAATGGAAGGCTATCCTCTTGGTCGGACACCAACATGGACTCAGCTAAAGACAGCAATTTCAAGCTCTCCTGCGACGATCATGAGACCATGGGTATGGTTATCCAGCTTTTCTAACATCGAACTCTCTGTTGAACGACTTGTGGTTGCATTCACGAGGCACATGTGGCTGATGCTGACGGATGAAGTCCTTAAGGGCATCAGACCCTACCCCAAATCGCTTAAGGAGTCCATGAAGTGCTGGACGATGACGAGCATCGACGATACCCTCGCTTTAGTTGCTTTTGAAGCATGCAATTCTGGGTTGCATGATCATACAGGCGTAACTCCAGGTCGCATGGGTCCCAAGTCGAGAGCGTTTGTGGACAGATGCTCCCTATTTTTTCCCGATCCTGATGCATCACATAAAAACAACGCTCAATGGTCCACACTATGGGAGGGAGATGGATACATCGCACAGTTTCACAGGATGATGAAGATGATGGAAGAAGAACAACGGGTATTGCTGAAGCAAGGTCTACGTGAGGTATTTTCAAACCTTCATTGTCTTCCTGCAAGTGGTGCACGAGTGTGGGTGCAGAAGAATGATGCCATAGTCTTCATAACAAATCCTGCATATTATAGGATAGACTGCATCGGAAGGGGGGGCGAGAGCCAGAGGAGAGCCCCAAGAGCACGTCGCACTATGAAGTTAATCAAGGGCAAGCGCATCTTTGCGGCTGACCTGATGGACTCACAACCATTTGATGCTGATGGAAATCTGAGAAGAAAGACAGAGAGGCAAAAGCGTCGAGAGATCCACAAAAAAATAACCATGGCCAAGAAAAACAAGAGGGTGCCTCCTCCTCCACATCCTCGTAAATCCAGATTATTTCCCATGGACACAGGAGAGACTATAGAAGAGGGTGATGCAATGGATGTTGATTAGTATATATACATGACATCGATGTATTAGTAAACACTATGAGGAGATCCATAGTGGATCTGGGTGCATCTGGTAGCATGACACTTGACATGGATAGATACGCCTGCTAAAAACATATTCAAAATACTGCTACAAGGCTGCAAACAATGATTTCTGTGCTCATCAGCACATCTCATACAGTTTCACCACTCTGTGCTGTGGAAGGGTTTGGCGGAAGGGTTCAGTGTAACAAGCTTAAGGCTGAAGGTAGTGATCTAAAACGTAGTACTTACCTTCATGGTGGTTTTGATATCTGTCTATCTTCAAATATGTTTCAAAGGTGGCAAGACAGGCCAACAATTTGCTATTGAGTCGGCTGTGTCTGGCATGGAGGGTGGTAGGAGACGAAGCCAGCTCACAGCTGCGTCATGACTCGCATTAATCAAGTATTCCACATCGATGACACTCTTGCATCAGTGGCCTTTGAAGCAATCAATGCTGGACTGCAGGACCATACAGGTGTAACTCCAGGTCGCATGGGTCCTAGGTCAAGAGCATTTGCAAACCGGTCCTTGATGTTCTTTCCTGACCCTGAAGCCTCCTATAAGCTGACAGCCTTTTATTGTTGAAGTGAGAGCTCCAGCACTGACATGCCAAAAAAGCGACCAGGCTCATTATTTGCTGGACAATTTGGTCGCACAGATGGTCATATTAAAGAGATAGATAAGTTATGCCACACTGATGTTGGTTTTCATGAAGTCAGCAGTGAAGTCATGACGCACAATGGTGGTAGAAACAAGCCAGGAAATCACCAACCATAACAGCAATGATAGATGGGGAGTGGTCACTGCAAGGCAGAGTGGGGCAAGTTCCTCTCAATACCATGTATGTTGATCATTGTCTGCAGCGGACATGATTGGCAAGAGTGGCATGAGCGGTAAAGTTGATTCTTTCACTACATAAGATTTCGATTGCTGAGGAGATTTGCAGCCTGTACCTCTGTAGTCACCGAAATTTCATATCACACTGCACCCACAATCAATGCAGATGTGTTGTTCAACTGGAAACCAGCCGAACTCATCCTGGTGATTCAAGATGAAGCAGAGTCTGTGTTACCTGTTCTGACATATATTCTAGACATGCACCAGTCGTGAAATCACTACCTTCACCTTCTTCACCTCTCATCCAAACATGCAGCGAGTTCCTTGCTGTCTTATTTATCATGGAAGACAAAAAACTTGAGAGCTTGTCATATGCAAATTGAAACAGGTGAACCAATACTGGCGAGTCAAGATGAACCAGTTTGAACACTGAAATCATGGCAGGACAAGGATTCGAACCTGGTCCTTCCCAATGACCAGTGCTTGAGTGCCGGGTGCAATGCACCTGCCTACAACATGATATTTCATCCGCATGAAAAGCAATATTATGGGAAGCAGTGGTTGCAGACAAAGATGAAATATGAATGTCTGCAATGCGGCGTCATTCATAAAGCCATCCAATTTCGCCTGTTTTCCATTTCCACATAGTAAGCTCTTAAGTGTTGTCCTGCCATGATTTCAGCTACCAATATGTGAACCCTATTTCTGTTTTTCCCATATCAATGCAGATGTGTTGTTCCTTTCCGAGGCTGCATGGAGAGAGGAAATTGTCATTCTACTTGATGACATCAAGGCTGAAGGTAGTGATCTAAAACGTAGAACTTACCTTCATGGTGGTTTTGATATCTGTCTATCGCCAAATATGTGTCAAATGCGGCAAGACAGGCCAAACAATTTGCCATTGAGTCGGCTGTGTCTGGCATAGAGGGTGGTAGGAGACGAAGCCAGCTCACAGCTGCATCACGACTCACATAATCAAGTATTCCACCACCTGCTGGAGCTAATGTTATCTCCTACCATCCTCAATGACAGCCAAATCAGTGGCAAATTGGGCAAGAGAACTTTGCCTAGAGTCCAGAGCTTCCTGCCTCTCTGATCAGATGGAGGGAGATATGAGGTTGGGATGGGTGGACCATTATATAGCAACATTTATGGACACAATGTGCAGTGAAGACTCTATTTTGCTTGCAAACATCGGTCTGTTAAACTTTATTTGTTGGTTGGTTCAGTTCAGTTGACTGGCTTGCCTCTGTTTAAGTTTTATTTTTTGTGCGTTCATGTGATTGGTCAGACTTGAAGCAGAATTTGTTTTGAATATGATAGAACCTGCTTAATGCACTGGAAACATGAGTTTGTCCATGAAAAATAACCACCTCATTGTGCTGCCTCCGCATTTTTTCTGCTTATGTAAGCAGACCCACCTCGAGCAATGATTGATTTTTTCAACCTTCATATGACTTGCTTGGCTTCAAATAGACGTTTCACTTGGGGGTATTGAGCCCTCTGAACACGATTGTAATGCCCTTTTCATTCAAAAAAATCACATTTAAAAGTTATGAATGTCTGTAATGCTGTGTTGCTAACAGTACCAACTATTTTCGCTTTTTGACTTGGTGATTCTTGGGGCATTTGAGGTTGGTTGCCACCCCTCCATGAGGGTCAAACTGTTGTTAACAGTACCAACTATTTTCGCTTCTGGGGGTATTTTTGGTTGGTTGCCACCCCTTCATGAGGGTCAAACTGTTGCTAATAGTACCAACTATTTTCGCTTCTGAGGGCTTTTTGACTTGGTGATTCTGGAGGCATGTTTGGTTGGTTGCCACTCCTCCATGGGGGTCAAACTGTTGCTAACAGTACCAACTATTTTCGCTTCTGGGGGCTTTTTGACTTGGTGATTCTGGGGGCATTTGAGGTTGGTTGCCACCCCTTCATGGGGGTCAAACTATTGTCAACAGTACCAATATATCACTCGCATGGCTCGATCTCAGGCTCATTATGAAGGTAATTGATCCATATATATTGAGCAGCAATAGAAATACTTGATCTTGCAAAGTCTTGGTATAAGTGAGTCCAAGTCCACCGCTTTTGCTTATGTAAGCTGTGTCACCCCTGTCATGCTGCCTCACTCAATGATTGATTTTTTCAGCCTTCATGTGACTTGTCTGGCTTCGTGTTGAACTTGATCTAGAGGTTATTGACCAATCTGAATGAGATGGCAATGCTGATTTGATCTGAAAAAATCAGGTTTGAGAGTCATGCTACCCCCTCCCCCCACCTACTTCACCAAGAGGCATGACTTTATGTCAATAATGATGTGAAAAGGATGTTCCCAGTGTTTAAGGATCATATTAATAGATTGGAGATGGTTTCATAGTGTTCTGAACCAATATGGAATGTGATGTGCAAGTTTGCCTGATACCCCCCTCAAAGATCGATTTTTCTAGGCTTCCCATGTCTTGCCAGGACTCCACAAGTATGTTTCCTGGGGGTTCTTGATGCCTCTGAACACGATGGTAAAGCTATTTGTGTCAGGAAAAATCAAGCTGTTGAGATATGCAGGGTCCCCCTCCTCCCCTCAAACTCATATATCTTGATATTATGTAAATACCGGTATATAGAAGGATGTTCCTACTGTTTTATGATCATATAAATCGATTGAAGATGGTTCAAGAGTGTTTTGAATCCATCCTGAGACAAATATGGAAGTTTTCCTGGTACCCCCCCCAAAGATCGATTTTTACAGGCTTCCCATGTCTTGCCAGGACTACAAAAGTATTTTTCCTGAGAGTTCTTGATGCCTCTGAACACAATGGTAAAGCTAGTTTTGTCAGGAAAAATCAGGTTGTTGAGATATGCAGGGTCCCCCTCCCCCCCCAAACTCATATATCTTGATATTATGTAAATACCGGTATATAAAGAGATGTTCCTACTGTTTTATTATCATATAAATCGATTGGAAATGGTCCCAGAGTGATTTGAGTCCATCCTAATTAACATATGGGAGTTTTCCTGATACCCCCCTCAAAGGTCGATTTTTCTAGGCTTCCCATGACTTGCTTGTCCTCTAAAAGTATTTTTCCGGAGTGCTCCTGATGTCCCTAAACACGATGGTCAAGCCCGTTTTGTCAGGAAAAATCAGGTTGTTGAGATATAGAAGGTCCTCCTCCCCCCTCCTACCTCATATATCTTACTATGGTCACTTTTAGCTCAAAACCGATACTGTAAATAATGGTCCTGGTGCTTTTAAGACGTAGAAATCGATTGGTGATGGTCCCAGGGTCTCTGGAGGTCGAAAATATTGAGTTTGGTCACAGGTATGAAAAAGTCAGTATTTGGACTTTATCTCCACATCCCAACCGCCGTTTTCTTTCATTCCGGGCTCATATTGATCCTTGGGAATCCCTCTAACATATGTACCAGCCCAAGAAGAGAAAAAAGTTTTGAACTTTGTAACCTATTTCTGTTTTGACCATATAAGTGTCCCAAAAATGTATTGATCAAATTCGGCTTGTCATCCATCAATTTCGATTCTATCAACGGGCCGCAAGAGAGCTGATAAAAATTCCAAAGTCTGATAGCGTCAATGATACTGTCAAATTCTACCTATCTTTGGTTTCGTATTTCAAAGATGTAATCTTAGCCTTCCATCAGGAGGCGAAGGACGATGCGTCGAGCTCAACTTCGAAGTGGCGATCAGCATATCTCGACTATCACATTGCACTGGCATTACATAACAGCGCGTTCACAGAAGCAATGCAAGCAACAGCGCTGGGAGAGATGAAGCGGACTTGGGCTCAATTCTTGGAGAAGAAGGCATTGAAAGAGGTTCAGCAACGTAAGTATTTCATTCTTGCGCTACGTTAATATGTATGGACATGAACTGACATATCAACCACAGTAACGGCTAAACGAATGCACGATGTGTTTTGTTCTGCTGGTAACAACATGTGCGGGGGGTCGTTCAAACACACCATGTCGGATGATGAGACAGTATCTGCTCTACTGAAGAGTGTCACCGGGGATGAATCTGCAAAACCGATGAATAATGCAGATGAAGACATCAATAATTCTATGGACTCACACAATACTCCAATCAGTATGAAGGGAAATTCCACAATGTCACGAAAATTATCTGAGATCGTGCACGACGATGCAGAAGCCAGTCGCAGCGCCTCATCAAGAACGACAAGGTCGATGTCGAAATCTAGCAAGCCGATATCCTCTGAAATTGATGTGGAAGACGGTGACAGTGCTGTGTCACGCAATACAAGGTCTATATCGATCCTGAGCAAGCAGGAATCATTGCAGATTGAGGAAGAAGCTGGCGAAAGTCCTTCATCCCAAAAGATTAGGTCTAAGCCGGTGTTGAACAACCCGAAAATCCACGGACGTCAGAAGAATTCGATCATCGTCAATGGAGGCAGCAAATTGAAGAAGCAGGTCGTTGATACGGACCATGAGGTGTGTAACTAACCTTGTGTTCGAGTCGATGATTGATATATTGTATTAGAGTCCTACCGATGAAATTGCATCTCAGTTCGAACATAATACGAATTCAAAGAAGAACTCTAAGGAACGAAGGCAAAAGCGGAAGACTAGGTCAAGTAAGGCCTTAGGGAAGCAGAAAGCTGCTGCATCGCCTGTGGTCGAGTCTGAGGAAGATGAGGAGGATGCAACAGCGGTGTATCCGTCCGTTCAACCGGCTGTGGAGGTGAGTGATTCAGTTCTATGGAATACCACACTATTAATACACGAATGCGGCAAGGAGGAAGATGAAATGGATGGAAAGGAATCTGTCGAGGAAAAATATGATAACGTCATACTTCCGAGCGTTCAAGATGGTTGGAAAGATTGGACGAAGGTGGTATTCGAAGACGGAAACTCTAAAATATTCTTGACACTCGCTACATGGATGCTCATTCGTTTTCGTCAACTAACGAATATAGACATGGAGACTCCGTTAGGTGGCCTTGTCATTCCGGAAAATCCAAGGTTGTTGGATGATATCCAGGATGATCATTTCTTCGAGGCCCTAGGGATGGAGCGATTATATTCGGCATTAGTGCACCTGGAAACAAGTCCTCGCTACATGACTCATATTTTTCATGCATTGGGAAAGGTTATTGCGAACTCTGATGTCAGCGAGGGCAACCCGCGCATGATGCCATGCAACTCCCCACCTTCAGTCGAAGCACAGTAAGCATTCACAATTCGTTCATATCGTATCTGAAAGTATCTCAGGATGATGTCAGACTTGGATATTCCATGGCTGACGTTGAATAATAATCTTGAAGAAGGACCCTTGCCAGCATTTAATAACATCACAGATGACGATGCGGATGGATCGATTGACGGCGATGAGGTTGAAGTCAGGCAGGCATTAGATTCAATGATGATTGATGAGGGATCCACATCCGTCAAACCAGGAACTACAAGTAGTGACACGATATTCGTAAAGCGAAAGAGAACGCTATCTCAGGCGTCGCCGCCAAAGGTGAGTAACTTTTTCAAATATCTTAATGTTGAGATTTACATATATTTCAGAAGGAAGGTGGCAGAGGTCCTGCAAAGCGTCGCAAGGACAGTTCAAGAAGAATTGTCCGATCTCCATCTCCAATCCCGTCTGCTACAGACATAGAAGATTCCGGATTGATCTCGTCTCCTGTGGTACCTCAAGTTTCTTCGAATTCAAACACTAGTAGTCCGCAGGGTGATGCATCCGTGCTTCTACAGCCATGGGACGAAGAAATGACTGACAATGATATCGATGCGAATGGACCACGACCGGACTCATTCTTGTCAAATGAACCACACAAGAATGCAAATTTACATGACGCCGCTGCACGGGATGATGATGAAGAAGAAATAAAAGACCCTACTTCACCACAGGCACCCAGCGTCAGTGTACTGCCTCCTAGCCCAGTTATCCTCGTACCCGACACCCAACCATCTCAACCTCAGCGTTCAAGGGATACGACACCCCTCCTCCCACCAATTGCATGTATTGTCACGACTGAGGACAATATGATAGATGAAAGCGCCACACCTGAAGCATCTTTGGCTGGTGGACCAACTCCAGGCCCAGAGGAAGACGTTGCAATGTCTGATACTACTCCCGAAGACAAATGTGAAGTGAGTAAGTTCGCTTTATTTCCGACAAAAATTAATGATTCAGATAGAAGTGGTTCCACATGATGACTCCAGCGTTGCTATGATGTGATACATAATCATAAATTTCATATAGTATCGTGCGCCACACTGTTACATATCTCATGCACTCCTCCAACTGTACATTACTCAAGGAATGCCCAAATGTCTGTGAACACATGGATTCTTTGACCACATTGATCATCGTATCGTCTTCTCATTTTGTATGCAATTGAAAACAATCTGAATCATGTTTTATCCTGATGTGATAACGCTCATCCTTATGTCGTACATTGTACCACCGGAATTTGAGCCAAAACAATCATTTCAGCCGAAACGCTACTGTATCTTTTCATTGATCTGCCCATTGCATAACGAAGAGATGATTGAAAAAATCTGTCCTGCATTACGTTCAGTAGAAAATAACACGTAAATATTTGTGAAGGTAAATGGTATAGATCTAAAACATGTCCTTCATTGCAAATTATGTCTGTGACGGATGTGGCAAAAACCTGCCGATCCGTTGCCAATCCTTGCGGTACTTTTGTTAGGTCCGTTACAGCTCTAATGTAGAATTATCCGTCGTACGTTTCGTGTATTGTTGTCTTATTTCTGACAGATTTTTGTCTAATTCGTTCGCTGGGTAATCTTCAATTACCTACAAAGTAATCATGACAATTTCTACCATGAAAGACCAAGCTGAAAAGACATTTCAGTTCATATACAACGAGCGCATGGTTTTGAAAGCCAACAACTCACACCCGGGCCTGAAGTTAAAACGGAAAGATACAGATGAGCATTTGCCAGAAATCGAAGTGGAGGTTAACATTTAACATAAGCAGGCGTTGAAATATATTAGTATAATGTTCCTAAACTTCAATTAGGACTCGCCCGTTTTAAAATACCGCTTCCTCCGGTATACAGTAATTACACTGTTGCATGAAAGAATCAGAGACTTACAGAACAAACATGAAGAAATAACGAATTGATTTCACTAACGGTACCTACGCCATCGTGGCCCGAGAGTCGAAGATTTGTAAGTGATGTCACTCCAGTATGTGAAACCTCCTGCCAGTGTGATCAACTCACAATTGTGAGGGAAATATTTAGTACTCTGCGGCATATGCTGATTTTGTCGTTCTCTGGAGTCTACAATCAGGCTAGTACACATCCTCGCAGCTATGAATCATTATTAGTATAGCAAGCAAATGTGTGAAATGGACGAACGTAGCCTTGGAGTTGTATGCAGTCAAGGTGTTTGTCATCGTATCAGTACAAGAAGTGTGAGTGGGTCAAGAGTTTCCATTTATTCACACAGTTGGACTGAGCCAGAAAAATTGTTGATTATGAAACATCACAGCGAGAATGTCGCTAGGATTTGGTGATAATGAGGAGATTAGTACGAAATACCAGTACTGCTGTGATATGAGTGTTATATGCGACGAATGTGGCGCGAATTTCTAGATTCATGCCAGATGCGTCCCAGGCAAAATATGCAGTGCTCTAGGTGTCCATAAAATTTTGCCGGCTGAAATGCCGGCCCTTCAGTATAAATATAGAAAATCTCAATACTTGTGTGGCGTGGGAAGGTCACGTGATTAACAATATATATGGTTGGTTTTTTCAGATATATCTCTTTCTTTCGGACTACTACATTCCGAAGTGGTTTTCTCGCCTCCATGGGCGTGTACTGTCGATGACAGTGACCTCTTTTGTTTGTTTGTCATCTTACCTTCGAATATTTGCTGCTCCCTTCATACTTTCTTTGGTTATCTCGCCTCCATGGGCGTGTACTGTCGATGACAGTGACCACATTTGTGTTTCGTCTCACCTTCGAATATCTGCTGCTCCCTTCATACATTCTTTGGTTATCTCGCCTCCATGGGCGTGTACTGTCGATGACAGTGACCACATTTGTGTTTCGTCTCACCTTCGAATATCTGCTGCTCCCTTCATACATTCTTTGGTTATCTCGCCTCCATGGGCGTGTACTGTCGATGACAGTGACCACATTTGTGTTTCGTCTCACCTTCAAATATCTGCTGCTCACTTCATACTTTCTGTGGTTATCTCGCCTCCATGGGTGTGTACTGTCGATGACAGTGACCACTTTTGTTTTTCGTCTCACCGTCGAATATCTGCTGCTCCTTTTGTCCTCTGATTGTTTTATTGCCTCAATTGGCGTGTGCTGTATATGACAGTTACCACTTCTGTCTTCGGCTGCTCCTTCATATCATTTCGAGTTGTTGTCTTGGCTCTATGGCGATAACTTTCGACGAAAGTGGCTACAATTTGTCATAGTATAACTGAGTGCGATGTCTGTAAGTGTGTCCACTTCGGAATGATATGTGTACTGTACTACATCGTGTTTTAATTAAGGATTACACGGCTGACCATAGATTTTGTACGTCTGATGTCCAACTTCAGATTTGTTGGCCCAATGTTCATATTCTATAATATGTATGCATGTTACATTGTATATATAATATGTATATCTGCGGGCACACTGCACTGTCCTGGATTGCACCTTTCATAAATAATATAACAGCTTTGACCATTATCTATAGACTATGTATTGATGTGTATATAATCTGGATGTTAGCCCAATCTTTAATAAGTATGCTTTTCGCATTACATCAGGATTCAAAAATCCATGTTTTGCTGTGTATTTGAATGAATATGAACGTTATATCTGCATCATTGTTGTGTACATGAGTCATGATTGGGCAGGTCATCTGTGTAACACTGAAATTTAAATGAGGGAGTATGGGGTTTCTTCAGTGCAAGCTTATCGCTTTCGACAGAGATCTAATCAACCTAGTACAGTGCCCGTCCGCTCAGTCATCACAGATGCTAGGATTCGAAGTCCAGGGGAATACGCATGTTGTCCATCACGCTGATACATATGTAACAGATATCGAAGCACGTCTGTCACATATTTGACATTTTCCTTCGTCTAGATAGTATAATGAAACTGTTAGCACAAAGGAAACACGTGTTTTTAAACGACAGGAATTACCCAAATATGATGCAGTGTAGAACGAACAGATTGCTCATCCAATATGGCACGAGCAGAAAGTTCCAGAATAACACAATGCGCCTGTTGATGCTGACATTAACAGGGCAAAAACATCAGGAAAATCACTGCATACCAATGGAGGAAGTATTTTATCTTCGGTATCACTCTGAAGTGCCTTGTTGCACTCGTCAGAAACATCCTTGATCCAAATATCAAATGACATCAGTAATACTGCCATTTTCCTCATAGAACGGGTCATGCACTCCTTACGAAGTAAGAATGCAATGTGTCGAGTAATAAATAACCAAGAATCATAATTAGAGTCGATAGTGGATATGAGGAACTTTATTCCTTCAGGATCCATGATGAATGACGAAAGCTGTTGAGATAGTGAATTCAACGATGAAGTGAATGTATAATCGACATACGAAGGGAGTGACGTTGCTTGTACCTTCCTGGGCCTCACGCACAAGATCTTGAATGGTGTACCTTGGTTGTTTCACAGACTTAGATACTCCAAAGGCGTTGTTCGCAACCACGGGCCTTTTTTTAGCGAATATAACTGGCCTTTCAGATTTTTTGGAGCCGTGTCGCTCAACAGTTGTAGCAGGAACATTTTGTGAGACAACCTGCGTATCCTGGCATAATCTAGACTTCAATGGGGTTGACATCTTGAGAGTGTCGCGGATTTTAGATAAGTCATATTCATAGCTGGACGTATCACTGATATCTGGATTGGAAGTGACTGATGCTTCGAGGTGAATCGATGTACTCTGAGGTAAATCTCCAGAATTATCATCGTGCGGGTCAAATGATGGCGGTTCTCGATCGTAATGCTGAATGATTCAAGGGCTTGTTAGGATATTAAACAACAAAAATGAGATACATACGTGACATTTATCATGTAAGTATTCTTCAGGCTGCAGTAAATCTGGCTGAAAAGCAGGCTCATTAATTCCATGGTTAGATGCGTCCATGTTTAGTTTGTCATCGATTATGATGTCTGTCTGCATTTCGCGATCCATCATTACACGGCTAGGAGGTAATTGAACTTTGCATTCGGCAATGAAGTCGCATTGAACCCCAACTGCGACAGCTGTACATGCACGGCTGTCCATTGCGATGATCTGTCGGACTATAGAATCAGTATGGCTATATCACACATTAAGACAGTATTTGTTTGAAATCACCAATTCATTCGTTGACGGAACAGTCTGGCCATATTCAACCACACATTCCTTGCCCGTGCGAGATATATAAATGGCGCGACCAGCAGCAGTAAAGAATCGCGACATTGCACCTCGATCTGCTGATAATTCCTGGCATGTGGCCATCATCTCTGCCATACCGAATATCTCCAAGTACTCTTCCAAATGTTTTGCAGTAAGAAGCAACCCATTGGCTACAAGATTGTCCAATGGATCGTTATGATCGAGTCCTTGGATCTCCCGAAATCTCATGGCGACATGGCTAGGTAACCATTTACCAAAGCCACCAACGATGATTTTATGTGCATCACTGCCGAGAGTGCTAAGAGCAAGCCTGCGAAAATTCATATCGAATGGCAATGGGAATGTTGGAAATGTACTGGGATTCTAGAAATAATAAATAATGTGAGTATAAAATATTGTACCAGTCACATACCACATCTGTGCTATCAGATACCATGTTAATTTGTGGCACAGAAATAGATGGTGCAGTGCTCTCTTGGTCGATTGACGCATTGACACAGGCATCGATCACATTCAGTAAACTCTCCATGTTTTCTTCTCCACCAGACCCTTGTATCGCGCCACAGATGTCATGATCCTTGCATTTTTCATGGTGGTATGTAGTCCAATTGACTTTCCTGCAATTTGAGAACGGTCAAAAATTCTTAAAAAAAGAACGCACGAAAAACGAGGATATCTGAACACTCTCCGTTCTCTACACCTTCAATGGTTACACCATGCTCTGTAGCCAAGGATTGGCGCCACACATCATGAAACCCATCGCACGTATGGTCCAACCACAGGTAGTAGTCAACAGTAGAAGATCTGAAGTCTTTATTTGTTGGATCTGAAGATGCAGCAGCATCATCTACAAATGCAGTGCGCACATCGTTGAGATATTTCATAACCGATGCATAGGTATCCCGCAACGTGGTAGCATTGGTGCTCGATGATTTCTGCAAATGTTCAATGACTTTTCTGTAAATTCCAATCTTCTTGTTGAGTGCATATAATGGAAGACGGTAGTGGGGAGCTATTAGGCATCCCTTTCGTGAATGTCCGATAACCTTCAGTGAACACTCTCCATCAACGTCTTGAATGGTCCCCTTCATTTTGAGCAACTGTTGCACGTCGTGTGCATTCCATTCACTAAGGTCGCAAGATGGATGCATGGGGGTTATCTAAAAGAGCATGGAAGACTAACATACAATGATATATTGAATTATGCTGTGCTCGGAAGCGAGCATCCTCGAGGCACACATCAACATTATGCTATTGGATCGCTTATTCATGATACACGAGGTTAGTAAAACTATTTCCATGCAAAAACCGATTAATCTAAATTCAGGGAAAGTATCGCACATGCGATGGATCACATGAGGGAAAGTTCTGTTTGAATGGAGGGATAAATGACGTGACATCAGACGGATCAAGTAGATACAAATGGAATTAAGGTGGTAATCTTAGATCACCTCCTTCATACAACTTTGGCAGTAGTATCTAGGTATAGTATCATCGCCAATGGGTAGCATGGCTTGTTGTATGTTATCCTTCCATCCCTCAGGCAGTCGTCCAATTGTTCTAGCTGCTTCCATAAGTGCCTTTCCCTGTATTAATATCACTGCATTCCCAACAACACCACATGATCCCCCTCGTCTAATCGGCATGGTCAAAAGTGACAGAAACTGTGGGTCAAAGTCGACATGACTATAAATGGATGGCAGGCTTGCCTTTACATTGCAACGCAGGGGATGCCCCAGAGCTGCAAGACATTTTTCATTGATCCAGTGAGAACATTTCCTGCAGTATCGTTGGACTGTGATTGGGGAGGAAAATGCGGGATCGCATCGATTGCATGCACAATTTGTCGCGGTCTGAGAGTTCTACATATTTAATGAGATTTAGAATATACCAAAGCCAAAATAAAATCTGCATACACGTATGTTGACCCCTTCTATGTACAACGGACGACTCTGCTGCCTTGAAAACTGTATATCGATGGTCCAACGATTATACAGTGTACCAACTGGGATCTGACGTTGTGATATATCACCTTCATCATATGGAAATATATTGGCATGATCTGCGAATAATACACAAATTTCAATCAACTCATTTTACTGTGCAGAAATATCAAAATACATACCCTCAACACAGGACATATCAACCACAGATGTATGATTGCTGAGAACAAGCTCATATTCGCCCACACAAGCTGCCAGACTACAATAAAATGTTCATTCATGAGAATGATATAACTAAATGTAAAATCTTACTCGACGTCCTCATCTTTCAAGTCTACCTGTCTGTAATACCACTGTATTTCGAGCCATACATCCTACAATAGAAAAAATGAGGTCAATGAGGATAGCTGAATGTTTGAATGGACCAGACTTACCTGCACGTGCGTACCAGACTTTAGATATATCTCTGACAGCTTACCATACCAATATGACATCACTGGTAGGCTACCATCTTGTCGCTGAACCGCCCTTTGATCTAGTGGATAAATTGAGAGACTTGAAAAATTAAGTCAGGATGACTGTAAAAATGGACAGTAATATTCGTACTCTTCCCCAACTCGAATCACCATCCTACCATCATTTTCATCATCAGAATCGTCGTTAGAGTTGTAAATCCCTTCATATTCAGAATGATATCAGGGTAGATATTAGATATTTGAACGACCACCAATGGGTAGTTAATGTGACTTACATTCCAATGATGTGCATCGCCTCAATTTATGAAGTTTTGGATGACTATTGCGCATTGGTGCTAACCTCCTCTTTCCATCCGTGCGGGAGGGATAACTCGTGATTGATGGTCTGCGGGACATGGAGGTTGAGATGGGAGTGAAAAAAGTCTAACATCCACCAATAAGCACCGTTCAGCGGGAGTTATGGAATATCCCCTAAATGAACGGGCCAAGAAAAACCCCATGATTATACTTTAAACGACTGAGAATCGTTCTTACGGAATTAAGGAATGTGTTACATAATTGTAGGCATCACATCAGACCGCAGCTTGTTACATGACCGTATTCCATTTCATTACACTGAACCGAAACCTTAAATATTCTGAAAATTTCAGATACTAGTCCAGGACAGGGAGTAGCCTCCGAGTCAATTTGCAGGGATTTTCCCCATTATGTCTCGCTTAGAAGTATGCAATTCGCTTTAATTCACATGGAAATTTAGGGGATCATCGGAGCGAATATAATAACAATAGTTTCTACGGTGCAGGAATTTGCTCACACAACGCACTACATACCATGGATGACGAGGACTCACTCGATATTCTTCAACAAATACTTAAATTGAAGATATTGGATACGGACACACATGGATCTAGCATATTAGGTGCCACTGGTCCTCCACATGAATGTGCTACTGAGGTCATATCAAATGACAATTTGAATGGTGGAGAAATAGTGGCAGCGAAAGAAAAGCAAAAGCCAAAGAGAGGCAGGCCAAGAAAGCGAGTGAGACAGAATCGTAAGTATACATGCTTGACCCCTATTTAAATGCAAATTTGATAACGCTAATATGTTTCAGGAAAAACTGCATTACCTATACTGCAAGCTGAAGCACAAAACGAACAAATCATGAATACAGATAGACGACTCATCCGTGCCACAATCAGCCCAGTCCACGAGCTATTCCGGCCAAACATCGATGAAATCCACTATCCTTCAACGGATATAGATATCCTACCAGGAAGCACAATACAAGACCATGATCAGCGGTGGAATGCACAAAAGGATCTACAATCAGATGTGACTGATATCATACAGAAGATAATGATGTCAGGCATCCTGGATTTGAATCCAAAGGAATCATTGACTATGAAGTATATTGCCGATGATCGCTCGAATGCGAATGAAGACATCAGGGGACATTTCATGGAAATGGATGATGGAGGTAATACACAACAGATCGATTATTCAACGCAAAATAAGCCAAGTCGGCCACGTGGATGACCAGCTAGGAAATCAACCACACTTCGTGAGTTTTTGCATTTCAGATTTTATCGTATTCAATTTATTGTTGGCATAGGCAAGAAACTCAAGGCAATGGCTTCCAAAGATACGACATCATCACAGAAAGAAAATGATCATTCAAGATCCATCGTTCGTGCTACCAGCAACCCAGTTCAGGATAACCAGCAGGTAAGTGCAGATGTTATATCAAATAGGGGTGACATTTAAAATGCTATTCTACAAGAAAAAGATGATTAACATAAATTTCATACAAGATGGATTAGTTCGTCTAAATGATGATATTCAATCCATCGATGGGGAAATAGGTGAAAATCGATCCACTTCTCGTCCGAGAGTAACTGGTCAGTGAGACTTTAAATCATTATTCAAGCAAGATGTCCTTAAATATAATATTAAGCATCAAAAAGTCGGATTATTCATCGTCAACCTTCATGCGACCATGAATCAGGAAATATAGAGGAATATATGGAGGACTCAGTACAAAGTAAGAACATTTCACGTTCGTCCATATGTCGTCACATATATTGATCATCTTAATTAGGTTGTGCATTACTATATACAAGAAGAATAGAGGATGAAGAGTACAGACCTTCTCTACCACCAGATATACTCCGATCACCTTCTATTGAAGTTCGACAAAATGTGACACCTGACCTGACTGTCGAGGAAATTTCTTGTATGTTGACAATGATATTTATTTGTGCAATGGGAAACACTCATTCTTCCCCATTGTAGCTTATGCAATGGCCCAACCACTATCCTGGACATCGGTATGGCACAACTGGAAAACACTCGCATCAAACGAGTGGCTTGATGCAACAGTGGCAAACTTTTATTTGTCTCATATCTGGTATGATGGTCTGGGAAAATCGAGCATGAGATATGTGGACCTATATACAGCTAGGGTCAACGAAATCACAACACAAGAAGTGGATCTCTTTAGGAGGAACTATTTTGTTCCTTCTGAGGGCGAATGTCCAATCATCCCTGTTGGATTTATAGTCCATCACTCCGATCATTTCTTTGCTGTCATTTTCGACTATCAGCGATGCACAGCATATGTCCTTGGTCGCTATATTTCCAACTCTGAAATGGATGTCGAGATAGCTGACCCATACAACTGGGAGGATTGGCAAGGACCGGGATATTGGAGAAGAATTGCGTCCCTTCATGGCTGGAGTATAGGCGATGTCACCAAAATTTCTGTGATACACAGGGATTGGATGCAAAATGGAGTGGACTGTGGTCCAATTGCTTGTTCTGTGCTACAGCAATGTCTCGCATCAGGATTAGATGAAATCGGAGGCTTGCCAACATTTCATGTCCAATGTGGCCACAAGTTGAGAATTCACATGCTGCGTGTTGTGGCAGGACGTATCAAGCTCAGCTGCAGCGATTATCTCATGCTCCTAGACAGCCAACGACACCATTGGAGCGAGGATGAATTTCCAGACGAGGATACCATCAATGACATTCAGAATGGACATCATCAGGCTGAATGTCTGAAGCTCCTCCGCACCTTGACTGTCGTCAGTGCCACCTGCTCAATATGTCAGCGTCCTGTACTATCACAGGATGGTAAACGCCCCTCACGTGATTCTGAGGATGAAGACGAGACAAGACTTGATGGGGAGGATGTAGAAGCTGAATCGAGCGATAATGAGGATAGCCTTGGCGTAGCCCTATCGCATGAGAGAAAGAAAAGTCTTGCAAAGCTATTAAAAGACCACAAAGAGCTAAATGGATCCAGAAACCGCAATAACATTGTCCCTCGCGCAACTGGAACTCACCTGGAACTAGAGATAGAAATTCCACATCATTGCGATAATACGGATGACTCGCAACGCTCTGTGTCCGCATCAGCACCTCGCAGAAAAGTCAAAAACTGGAATCTTGGAAGCAACAAACGATTTCCACGTCCTATCGCACCACTTCCTCTGGTTGCGTATTCAAGTAGAAGGTGGCTTCACGATGATCACACATTCGATGATTATGAGGATGGACCTACTATTGAGATGTTGAAAGCACAGAGGGACATCAATCCGACAACGACATTCCAGGCTGGGGCAATCCAGCTCTCTGCTTCTTGGGTCGATTGGGTCGATCATGGATATCGCATCACGCCTAGCTCATTTCATATATTCTATCAATGCGACCCCATAGCAACAATGGACCACATCATGCCAATTGGAACGACAAACTCCTATGATGCTTCAAATCAAATTCCTGATCGAGTGACAGGTGCATACAGCCTTGCACGAATCGGATCATCTCAAGACGCACAGCACACGCATGTGACAGATGTGGAAATCCTCTCTGCTTCTGAATTAATAGAATCTGCGCAGTATGATCCCCCCCTTCACGAGGAATGTAGGTTCGGACATAATTCATTTGTTCGTGGCCATACCAGCCATAGATATGGTGATGGACCTCCAATATATGTCGACCTTGAACGAGATGCAATAAAGTTTTCAGAGGATGAGATAGAGACCTCGCTGGACATTGACAGTATCATTTGGACGACAAAGGCGTTCCGATGCAGAGGATCTGTGGGGATTTATGTCACTCCTCCATTTCAAACCAAGCCTGGTATTTTCAAGCACAACCATGCATACATCGACATCACAATTCCGCAGTCTGAGGAAGATGCTAATACTCCTGGTGGGCGAACGGAATGGCTATCAAAAAGATTTCCCATGTCTGCGATCCCTCACATCTGCATTGGGCGCATATCCTCTGCGTCCTCAATGCTCAATCTTTATATTGCCTTCCCAAGGATGATACACCAACACCCAGTGAATGGTCGTAGAATCACATTGATGCCAAAGGAGGTCTTGGATATCTTTTGGGATCAAGTGCTGCTGCCGTCTATAGGGGACTCCACCGATGTCAGCTGGGCGCCTTACCTTAAGCACACTTTGGAAGAGGCGAGATACAAGGCAAGAGGTAAAGATGGACGCAAAGGTGGATGGGGACCTCCAAAGACGATACCACTCTCCGATGACGACTTTAGAGACGTGCAGGACCGTATGGAAGCTCGCATACAAGATGGAGAGGGCGAGCTCAGCATGTATGGGTCATCATTCTTTATTCTAGAGGGAAAGGGAATCAAGCTTCTCACAAAGGATGGACAAAGGGGGCGTTTCACAGGACCTGAAGAGGCTCTGCTTCACAACCTTCCTGATCTTAACTGGGAATATATGATGAACAGGAAACATGGAGAGTTGCTGGTAGACATCGGCATCTCATTTACACCCCACTCCACAGAGGTTCCAGTCGTCGGTTTATGGAGATTAGATGCATTAGAGGCATCATTTGGCGCAGGTGGCTACAAGCGTGGCGAGATGCATCACCACAACATGCTCTCCAGATATGGCGCGCTTCAGGCAGAGATGCAACAGGAGAGATCTCAGCAGACGCACATTGCATTCAGGAGCACCTACAACCTATACTACGAGTCCATCCGAACAAACAACAACCAAGTCAACTTCGCTTCCGACAGCGATGCATACAAAATATCTCCATCTTACATGGCTGAATGCTTTGATGTGATGAAGGTGGTCGACGGCTGCAAGGAGAAGACCTATGGTGTCAGAGATGAGTATCGGGTCAGTGGCCGTGCAGCTAGAATAATGCTAGATAATATCCAAAGCAAGGTGAGTGATCATCGACACTGGAGCTGAATTACTCTGACAATGGCTGAACTCCAGGCTATTGAATATTTGCAATCTGATCCCATACTATGGATCCCATCCAAGATCTGGTTTGAGCTCATCAGACGAAGAATGCGGGAGATTCAGAGGACCCAAATCAGAATTGTAAAGAAGAATCCTCCA